CCCGCACCAGAGGCCCCCGCCGCCGCCGCCCGATTTGCCGACATGATTTGCGCTATATTTTGATGGCGCAAAAGGCTTCCACCGGACGTGGACTACCAATCACCGTGACAGACCGACCCACCGCTGGCTGGCTGGGCTCGGGCCGGGCAAAGAAAGGCAGAGAGGCAAGCGGGCGGCGAAAAAGAAGAGACGCGGCGAAGGGCGGAAGGAGGCAAGGGAGGGAAGGGATGGCGAGGAGCGGGGAGGGGGGCACTTGGCCACATGGTGGCCGTCGCGGAGTGATTTAGGACCAAGGGCCCAATAACGTCGGGGGGTATATTTGCATGCGTGCTCGTAATTATCAGACGCGCGACGAGACGGCGGCGGCGGCGTCCGGCCGCCGGCCCGGGCCAAAGAGCACCCGGCCGTCGGCAGCACGTCGCCGCCCTGGTCGACGTCATCCAGTGCGTGTAGTAACTCTCATCTGCGAGCACGCCGGCAGGTGCGATGAGGAGTAAAGGGGGCTTGCGCCGTCCAGATCAGCTCAACGTCATCGTCGGTATTCTAAACCCGGAAACACAGACGGTCACAAATGAGCTCAGCAAATGCGCCCTCTATGAGCGTGACTGCGCAGGACAGCGCACTCGCGTCGTGTGGAGTGCGTGTGTGAGAGAGAGGGGGACCGAGCTCCACGCCACGCCCGGGCAGTCTGTTCAATCGAAAAGCAACACACTGCCGGGCTGACCTTTTCCACGCGGGGCGGTGCGGGGCGGCGGTGTGGGGCGCCGATGTCTCGGTTGTCCATCATGGCGAATAGGTACGTCAAAGTTGCGCTCGCCCCGCACCGCGCCACGCCCCGCCACGCCCTGCATTTGCCTGTGGCCGCAAGAATGCAGGCGCACGGCGCACCAAGCAGGCAGGCGGCGGTCGAAGAGTTTCTGGCGTTGCGTCGCATTGCGCCATGTGGGGTCATTGGGTGTGCTCTATGAAGGTACGCTATGCTTATTCCACACTCGGCAGAAATGTAGACAACCGCCCTCCTCCAAGCACCCACAAAAAAGAGAGTTAAAAATTGTCAACACTTTTTACGTAAACGATGGAAAAGACATATGGCAACGCGGTCGCGAAATTCAACACTAATTTGCACTGTGTGCACTACACCGCCAGCCACTCGGCTGCTCGGGACCGCCATTTACCATACAGACAGCGGATCTTGTCCCCATTTCCCGGACGAGCGGCCACTTATGTGTCGTCGTAAAGCTTACCCCTCCGACAGGTGAAGTACATTTTCCACGACAACTATACGCATC